ATTCTATCGTTCATTGTGTCTTTCTGCAAACTGTTTCTTTAGAAAACAACGAGAAGAAGAAGACGAACGAGGAGAAAGCGAAATCCGTGGCTAAAGTCAACGAGCAGAACAAGGACAATGTCAGCGAGCTGCGTAACGCGAACGATACGCCGAAAAATCTTCTGATCGATCTGTCGAACGAGACCAAGGCAGCTGGAAATTCCTGGGTAGGCGTATTGTCATAAATCTCCCCCTCTCTCTCTCGAATATAGAAGTAAAAATGTTTCAGTAGAAATCAGCGCGTAGACGACGATATTGACGAAGTTCCTCTGACGATGTTTAGGTTTGCTTCGAGGAGGAAGACGGCAAGAAGATACAGAAAAGCAAGAGCAACGCCACTAGCATCCCCATGACGACACTGAGACACAGCGCGACGTCCGCGTCGCACCACGTTGTACCGAGGCCGGCGACCGGCTTTAAAATTCAAAACGCCTGGGGTGAGGCGAGATCCGTGGACCTGATGTGCTCGTAGCAGGCGTAGCCCACGGCCGACAGCTTCCGGGACGTGCCGTTGATCACCGGCCTGTGGAAGCATTTGTCGAACAACGGCCAACCGAAGAAGATCAAGCAATAGGGTATCGCTCTTACGATCGATGGGAAAGAAGCAGATGCTTCGATTGGCGAATGCAGCAAATGTTTCCTTCGTTGAAGACATTCGAGAGGCGAGTCGATCGATTCCCGAATTCGTTCGCACCCTCGGCTACTTTCTTTTCCAACGAACGAAAATGTCCCTGTCCAGTCGTGAGCCGTGTGATTTACCACATTTGTAGGTATGTTTTTCACCAGCTGATCGAGGAACGATCGATATACAAGCTAAGAAATCCAGGCGACGGTTTTCTCTCACCACCGAACAAATGGGAACAATTTTTCGAAACGGTTTTTTTGTACGTACGAGGCGCGTGTAATGTATCCGTGCCAATTCTTTCATACATATCGCACGCGATTTTTATATTGTTTGATCGAATCATTTCTTT